AGATCACAGGCCAGTGGATGCAAAGTCTTGTGGATCCAGTGGTGGTGGACACATCTCCAGGGTTCTCGTGGGCCTCAGCATGGCTCTGGCAGCTGTCTGAGTGACTTGACATAAGGAAGGTGAAGGCAGAGAGAGAGAGAGAAGGTTCCCAAGACTCTTCTTAGGAGAAAGCCATCCCACAAGGAGGTACTATCAGGTTGTGACCCAATACCACTTTACTAGATGTATCAAGTCGACAGGAGATCATGTAACTACCATAAATAGTGACTCAATGAAAATAAATGATGCTGTAAAGGATCTGGGATGATTGGGACTCTCATACATTGCAGGTGGGATTGTACCACCACTACGGAGAGCAGTGTGGCGAGTCTTTAGATGGAAACAAGCCAACAAACAAACCAAAAACAACTTACTGCCATCAAGTTGGTTCCAACTCATAGTGACCTATAGGACAGGGTAGAACTGCCCCCTCTGTGTTTCCAAAGCTTCAACTCTTTGTGGGAGTGGAACGCCTCATCTACCTCCCTCTGAGCCACTGGTAAAGTCAAACCCTTAGAAGCCTAGCGGTCACCACAGGGACAAAGTCCCCCATCTACCTGAAGCCCATCATCTCAAAAGTGTGTGATTCTATTTTCAATTTTCAAATCTTTCCTCCCCCACGGCGTAAGATGAACAACTTTGGGTACTTCTCTGTTCTTTATTTTAGCATCTGTGTCTACAGAAAAGAATGCTGGTGTCATCCAGTAGGGGTGTTTTTGAGAACGATTGAATTGGCTGAGCATGATGACTCCCACATTTGCCCACACCATGAAGTGTTTGACAGGCTCATGTTGTGTTTTAGAGCTGCATCCTATTCCATAGTGTGTTTGTACCAGAATTTACATTCCCATCTCTCCACAGATGGGGTTTTGCTATCATGGATAAGAGCTACTGTACACGAGTGTGCATACGTCTGTTCGTGTTTGAGTCTGTATTTCTTTGGCGCATGTGTTAGGCTGGGTTTGACTAGAGAAACAAATTCATGGACACGAATATGTGTATAAGAAAGAGTTATATAAAAGAGCAATTGTATATTGAGAAACATCTCAGTCCAGTCCAAATCAAGTCCATAAGTCCGATAGTAGTCCATATGCCCAATACTAGTCCATAAAGTCCTCCTTAGGCTCACAGAGCCATGCAATGATGCTGAATGCAGGAAGATCACAGGGCAGTGGGTGGGAAGTCTTGTGGATCCAGTGGCAGTGGAAGGATCTCAGCGTTGGCGTGGGTCTCCACATGGCTCCTCCAGCTCCAGGGCTATTGTTCCATCAGTGTGTCTCCATGTGGCTTGTCCACAGAAATGTCTTGCAGGGAGTGTATCTGTGTCCAGCCTTCAGCAAGATATTTATCTCCCTAGTACCTCCAAATGAGGTCATCAAGCTGTGACCTGATTGACAGGCTAAACTCCACCCCTTCACTCTTAATAGTCTCAAGTTGACACCAGATTATGTAACTACCACAGGGCATCTACTGAGGAGACAGAAGACAGGGCCATAAGGTATTTCTATTCATTCTCGTTTAAGGAAAGAGCTCTGGTATTGTAGTGGCTACATGTTGAGTTGCTCACCCTAAGGTCAGCAGTTCCAAACCACCAGCTGGTCCGAGGGAGAAAGAGAGGCTTTCAACTTCCGTAAAGCATTACAGTCTCAACAAAATAATAATTTATAAATTATCAAGGGTTCATGAGAGAGGGGGAAGCGGGGAGGTGGCGGGGGGATGAGGAGCTGATATTAAGGGTTCAAGTAGAAAGAAAACATTTTGAGAATGATGAGGGCAACATATGTACCTATGTGCTTGACACAATGGATATATGTATGGATTGTGATAAGTATTGTACAAGCCCCCAATAAAATGATTTTTTTTTTTTAAGTTACAGTCTCAGAAACTCACAGGGGCATTTCTACCCCATTGTGTCGTGTCATCCTGAGTCAGAATTAACCCAATGGCAGTGAGCTTTTGTCAGGTAGCAGACCAGGGACCAGGAGTGTCTAAGGGGCATGTGCCAACTCAGACCCCCAATAAAACTGTGTGGGCCCAAACAAGGCCAGGTGGGCTTAATTCAGTCCAAGGAGTCAACCCATACCTTCAACCACGCCTCCCAGCCAAAGGCCCCATGTACTGGAACGTAGAGACTGCCCAACCCTTCAGCCGCTTCTCTGCCTTCCACTAGGCTGTGCAGCCGTCCCCCTCCCTCTGGCCTCTGGCCACCATGTGTGAGTGTGTGACCTGTCCCGCAGGTCATCAAACAGCGTGGATACCTGAAAAAGGGACTGGGAATGAAGAGGGGCAAGAGACGCGAGAAATGGAGGCAAGACAGGAGTCTGATCAAGCCTCGATTTTATTGAGCAGAAGGCAGGGGCTTAAATACTCTATGGTGGGCGGGTAACATTACACATTGGGTACTCATTACACATATGCTAATAAAGTGTAATGAGTACCCAATGGTGGGTGGGTAATATTACATCATATGCTAATAAAGTGTAATGAGTACCCAATGGTGGGTGGGTAATATTACATCATATGCTAATAAAGTGTAACAGGTAGTATCCAATAATCATGTAGCTACAATATGGAAGAAATGGCAGGTATCAGTCCTCAAACAGGTCCGCATG